CCACACACGCCCACACGCACACACGCACACAGGCACACACGCACACACGCACACAGGCACACACGCACACAGGCACACACGCACACACACACACAGGCACACACACACACACACGCTCCCTGTTCTCACTCTGTATATATTGGCACCTACACAGCCACATGACTGTCAGTGTGTTAACCCTTCACACCTCCGCCCTGCTCCGGGGATGTGACTTGCGGTTTTGCTTTTTCCTCACATGATTGCCCAGACCCGATGGCTTCCGTCCAGGACTGTCACCGGCGGGCGGAGGGAGAGTTGCCTGTATGTGGGGTCAGATCAGAGATTAGTGATACCTCCCTGTAGGTGTGAGAGCGATAAGCAGGCGGCACTCCCAGGTGTATTAGTGTTATCATTCGCTGACCCTTGCCCCCGGGTCCTGCGCTCCATACGTAGGTGTGACACGGTACCATCCTATATGTCATATAGAGCAGCAGTGACTGTCTTATCTTCCTGCAGCATGCATCAAACTGCGCCGACATTATCTATCAGGTCACATGTCCATTTTATATAACTTAGTCTTCCATAGAATGGAACATCACCATGATAATGACCTGTCTGTTTTCATTACATACCCTATTGTAGCTGCAGTGATGTCATCACTGAGTCTTTGTTCTTCTCTATGCAATGCAGGCAGATCATGGCTGGTGGGAGGGGCCGGCAGGGGGCTGTACGTAGCATTGTGAAAACATCACAGCACCCTGCCTCTGTACTTTTCTCAAGAGCCCTCAGCCCTGATGCAATTCGTGTGCCGACTCTTGGGAGGAGTTATGCAAATATACAAATACCTAGATGGGTGGGTGTCAATCTGGAGGAGTGGGCGTTCCTAGACAGGCTGTATTTGCATGCAGACCGCCCCTAGGTAGCGCCCACATTTGATGCTGACCCTCCAAATCACCCCTTTTCCCATGCGTCTCTATGGAGGTGTAGAGGATTAGGAATGTTCCATTAAAGACGCCTCTCCAATTACAGTCTTCTGGCTGCAGCCAGATTCATGTTTCATCGTGTCTGCGCGGGGTGGAGGTGACGGGAAAACAATCCTTCTCTCAGGAGAAGAGTGCCGGAGGACTGTGACTCATCATGTGCTGTATACAGGAGAAGAGTGCCGGAGGACTGTGTACACTCATGTGCTGTATACAGGAGAAGAGTGCCGGAGGACTGTGTACACTCATGTGCTGTATACAGGAGAAGAGTGCCGGAGGACTGTGTACACTCATGTGCTGTATACAGGAGAAGAGTGCCGGAGGACTGTGTACACTCATGTGCTGTATACAGGAGAAGAGTGCCGGAGGACTGTGTACACTCATGTGCTGTATACAGGAGAAGAGTGCCGGAGGACTGTGTACACTCATGTGCTGTATACAGGAGAAGAGTGCCGGAGGACTGTGTACACTCATGTGCTGTATACAGGAGAAGAGTGCCGGAGGACTGTGTACACTCATGTGCTGTATACAGGAGAAGAGTGCCGGAGGACTGTGTACACTCATGTGCTGTATACAGGAGAAGAGTGCCGGAGGACTGTGTACACTCATGTGCTGTATACAGGAGAAGAGTGCCGGAGGACTGTGTACACTCATGTGCTGTATACAGGAGAAGAGTGCCGGAGGACTGTGTACACTCATGTGCTGTATACAGGAGAAGAGTGCCGGAGGACTGTGTACACTCATGTGCTGTATACAGGAGAAGAGTGCCGGAGGACTGTGTACACTCATGTGCTGTATACAGGAGAAGAGTGCCGGAGGACTGTGTACACTCATGTGCTGTATACAGGAGAAGAGTGCCGGAGGACTGTGTACACTCATGTGCTGTATACAGGAGAAGAGTGCCGGAGGACTGTGTACACTCATGTGCTGTATACAGGAGAAGAGTGCCGGAGGACTGTGTACACTCATGTGCTGTATACAGGAGAAGAGTGCCGGAGGACTGTGTACACTCATGTGCTGTATACAGGAGAAGAGTGCCGGAGGACTGTGTACACTCATGTGCTGTATACAGGAGAAGAGTGCCGGAGGACTGTGTACACTCATGTGCTGTATACAGGAGAAGAGTGCCGGAGGACTGTGTACACTC